TCTCCAAGTGGTCTTCGCTTCGTACCTTCTTCCGAAGGGTTGCCTCCTCCCTACTCTCTAGCATCTCCTTGACTTTCTTCTTGGACCCCCCGAACCCTTCCGTTTCCAATCAATGTCTCCTCCTCGTCTCCAATATCCTTCCAAACCCTCTCTACCACCTTGTCCCATCTGATTCCTTTCTTCCCTGGAGTCGTTTTTCCCCAAGCTGCCTTGTCAACCATCGCTGGTAGTCTATCGTCCGACATTCTACTTACCTTGTACTGCCAACTCAACTTTTGCATGTCTCGCTTTCATTCCCAGTTCTGCTCTCAATACAGTGTTGCTCGTTGTACTTGAACATCCTAGTATTTTCTTGGCCGCTGCCATCTGCACCGTTTCCAGCTGCTTGACGGCCTTTTCGTTACCTTCCCATACCTCTCCTGCATACTCTAGCTTAGGTACAATCACATTCAAGAGAACACACCTCTTAATCCTAGTGTCTAGGTGTGGGTCCGTAAGGATCTCGTCCATCTTGCCTATCTGAGCTTTACCCTTCCCAATCAACTTTGCTATGTGTGCGTCCCATGAGCACTCCTTCGAAATCTCTACTCCCAGNAGCAATGCACTTTTTTTATTGCCAATGTTCGTTGTTTGCCTTGGTTGGGTGAGGTCTCGTGAGGTTGAATTTGGCGTTTGTGTTGTGTTGTGCCTCGTTTTGACCTTTTGGGAGGCGCGGTGTCCTCTTTGTCGCTGTGCTTTCCCGACATTTTGGTCTCTGTGTTTCTGCGTAACCTACATTTTCCTAGTGCGCAGTCAATAATTGTTGTTGTTGTTGTTGTTGTCTTCACATTAAACCGTATGTCAGTTGCAAAATGCCAAAATCTAGCAAAGACTCTCAGCCCGTGGTCACGAGAGTGCTAGAGCCATCTGAGGATCTAAAGAACACGCACACATATTATTATTTTGATCATAATTATTATTCTCATTACAGTTGAGGTCCCTGTTTAAGGCCGCCCTGTGACAGACGAAATGACCGGCCTTAAAGAGCGCACCCGGCCTTATTGGAAACGGGTCTTGTTTAAGGCCGGTACCGGCCTTATAGAGGACTGAGTATTCCTCAATAAGGCCGGTACCGGCCTTAGTGAGGAATACTGATGCTGCACTCAAGCCTTTCGGGAAGGTGGCGGGCCCCAACGTGTCTGAAGGCTCGCAGGATGCACGTTATACATATACAGATTTATATAGCCGCACACGTCGTGACAAAAAATGATGTTGCATGTTTCCAAATATTACATGCTGCCGTAGTAGCTGACGTCCACAAAAATATGTATTTCACTTGGTACGTGCGAAGTATCTCATCGAGTGGCTCCCTCGTGAAGGTCGACAACAATACTGCCAATCCTGATCAGAATGAGAGGATGCCCACAGCAAAAGTTCAACGATCTGCACAACACAACAACCATCGAAAAAGGCACATGTTGCTCCAACTGACCAACTGGTGCTTACCCGTTAAACACAAAGTCGACAAAAAATCGAACAGCCCGACCTCTCTACCCCCTGATACACTAACAACGGCACACGAAAGTTGAAAATACAAGGATGAAACCGGACACGACACCGGACCCGGGAGAACCACTCAACTGACGCCTCCCCCCATGCGCCTATCGAGTCTACAAAAATTGCCTCATGTCTGTCTGCCTCGCTGCCTTCGAACCATTGTTGTTGTTTTGTTGTTTTTCTTCACATTAAACTCGTGTCAGTTGCTAAATCCCAAAATCTAGCAAAGACTCGGTCCGTGGTCACAAAAATGCTAGAGCCATCAGAAGGTCTAAAGAACACACACACCATTAGCAAGAAAANCTGCCTTCTAACCATGCGCTGCGATCATTGCCATTTTGGCCTTCTGTAGATGGAAAGCGGCGTCACGGTTGCCGCTCCCCTCCGCTGCCGTCTCCAGAGCCCCGAAGTGCGACGAAAGTGCCGCGACGGCGGAGGTGCCACATGACTTGAGGGTTCCTCGCTCGCTTCGTCGTCCGAGCTCTCTTCCGCGGGAGCCGTGCCATCAAGCAGCTCCGTCATCTCGTCCACGGCGTCCTGCTGCATGGCTTCCACAACATCCGGCTGGTCCTCCACCGTCGCCCACACTTCAGCCGCTCGCACAGCGGCAGCATCGGCGGGCTCTCCCGCAGTGATGCCCAGGGCCGCCAGCATTTCTGTCAACTCCGTGTCAACACCGTAGGACTTCTCCTGTGCTTCATGCACCCGTGAGCTCATGCTGGTGAGGGTCTTTGCGAGAAGATCCACAGACTCCTTGTCTGCACGCCCCAGGACTGGCCCTCCCGCCGGGGCCGCCGAGCCACTCGGCCTGTGCTTCCCGTGCGCAGCCGTGAGCTCAGCCTCCATATCTTCGGGGAGCGTCTTGGCCTTCACGAAGCACCTGGTGGGCGAGGTGCGGGGAAAGCAGCGGCACATTCGCAATAGAGAGGGTGTCAGACACAAGAAACGAGGATATCTGTTGGCAAATGAGTTATCGAGCGATTTCAAATTCATTTGTCTTTCTCACAGCGACATGAAACAGCTAAGGGNGCTCCCGCAGTGATGCCCAGGGCCGCCAGCATTTCTGTCAACTTCGTGTCAACACCATAGGACTTCTCCTGTGCTTCATGCACCCGTGAGCTCATGCTGGTGAGGGTCTTTGCGAGAAGATCCACAGACTCCTTGTCTGCACGCCCCAGGACTGGCCCTCCCGCCGGGGCCGCCGAGCCACTCGGCCTGTGCTTCCCGTGCGCAGCCGTGAGCTCAGCCTCCATATCTTCGGGGAGCGTCTTGGCCTTCACGAAGCACCTGGTGGGCGAGGTGCGGGGAAAGCAGCGGCACATTCGCAATAGAGAGGGTGTCAGACACAAGAAACGAGGATATCTGTTGGCAAATGAGTTATCGAGCGATTTCAAATTCATTTGTCTTTCTCACAGCGACATGAAACAGCTAAGGGGGTTCAACCCTGGCACACAATCATACATCAGATGTACACCGGTTTCTATCTTTGCAGATGGAAGAACCGGACACCACTTGTATTTTCGAAGCAATACCTGGGGATGGTCGTGGGGGTGATGCTGCCCCAGGCGGTCTTGAGAAGGTCTGCCGCGTCCAGCACGTGGGGGTGGTTTCCCTCCGCCAAGCCCGCGGTCCCGCGCGCCATCTTGCGGCTCTTGGCCTCGGCGCGCAGTGCATGAGCCACGAGCATGGTTGACACCTTGGCGTCGAGGAGCTCCCTCCTGTAGATCACCTTGGTGGCCGCGATGATCCCCATGTCCATGGGCTGGTGTACGCTGGTGCAGTTCGGTGGGTACATCACCACCTCCACCTGCCCGACAGGGTCGATCAAATCACCGTGCGACGAGCAGCCATCCATGAGCAGCAGCACGGGCTCGTGAGTCCAGCGCCGAATGAAGGGTAAGAAAAACTCCTGCCATCACTTCTTGAAGGTCGACCCATCAGACCATGCGTTGCTTCGCGCGAAGTACTTGAGAGGACATTTCCGGCGCCTGAAGCAGCGCGGGTTCTTGGCCGTGCCGATGATCGCCAGTGACACTTTCGCAGTGCCAGTGGCATTCGCGCACATGATCGCAGATATGCGATCCTTGAACTCCATGTTCTTGCTCCCTCTAGTGGTCTTCCGATCCTCGAACGCGGCGAGATACGTCCTCCTAGCAATGAGCTTCCACTGGATGCCGGTCTCGTCGACGTTGAAGACGTTCCTCGCCGGGTACTTCTCGCAAGCAGCGCGGACCTCCTCCATGCCCTCTTTGATGCGGTCGTGGTCGACGCTGCCGGCCGTCCCATGAAGTTTGTGGCTGTGGAGGTCGTTGCGCTTCACGAAGTTCTTGCTCCACTTGTCGCCAGCCTTGAAGTCCTCGAGCCTCTTCCTCACAGAGTCAGTCGTTTTCGCCGAGCCCAACAGGGTGGCCTTGGCAGAGCGGCCGAACGATCGGATGACGTTGCCGGTGACGGTGTACTTCGCCATCCGCGCCTTGTTGACGAGGTCCAAAACTAAAGAATCCAACTGTACAAAGTCAGCAGCAAGCACCACAGGGTTCAAATCGGTGTGCGCGGGTTAGAACAGTATTGCTTTCACGGATGAAAAATATCAAAGTTACGCACCAGCACCAAAGTTCACGCACGCAGAGACTACACTTGTGGAAAGGTTGACGTTTGCCGACCCTAGCCAAAATGTACAACATGCAGATAAAACGAGCAGTGGAAAAAAAATGTACCAAAAAATGTGTGCGCCTTTTTTGTTGTGTGTGGGTGGTGCATCAGATGTAAAATGTTCGTGATGCTTCCAATGCAGTTGACCGCGCAAAGCACAACCTCAGTGCATATCTAGACTGCTCTGGGGGGGTCGCTATTTGCACACATCAAGCACTGCGATTTTTCTTGAAAGTGCGATATGTACCGAGTGGTACAAACGGCAGGCTGAAAAAAAAACAACAGGAGCATACCTCCGGGAAATCCCCCGCCCGAAGGTTCTTCCTGGTGGTGGCGCTGCTGCGAGTTTTGGCGGCCTGATTCTCTATCTTCGCCCGCTCGGCCTTGACGGTACGCACCGTGCGCTCCTCGCAGTTGAACTACTCTGCGATCGACTTCTGCGTCCGCGCGCCCTTGTCCAGCAGACGGAGGTTCTCCATCTTGGTGCCGATGTCCAACCGCGTGCGCGAACCAGTCATGTCCGGGTGGTTGGCTGGTTTCGTTTTTTATGGTCTTGCCGTGTCTCCGCTCTCCGTGGCTGACCCTTTGCGCTTGCCCTTGCCAGCTGTCGAGGCATTACTACCCTTTTGCTTGGAGGCAATGCATGCAAAGTAGATGCGGGCGGTTTCGTACTCCGCATCTTGGTCTGTTCCCCACACAGTCCGTGCAGTCTGCGGCCACACCCTCCGTGACATTGGTGGCCGTGAGGGGCTACTGGCGTCTGGTCTGGCAGTTGGCACAGCTCACCAGTCGCACAAGGCATGTGTGCCCCTACTGGTTGGGTCGGTAGGGGTACGCTAGGTATTGCTGTTGTGTAGATCCCTGGAGTGGTTGTGTTGCGGCTTGAATAGACTAATGCTGCCGAAGAACTGGGTGCGCCACACCAAATCGGCCTTAAATAGGGACTATGCCTGTTTAAGGCCTGTTGTTGTTGTTGTTGTCTTCACATTAAACCGTATGTCAGTTGCTAAATGCCAAAATCTAGCAATAGACTCTCAGCCCGTGGTCACGAAAGTGCTAGAGCCATCTGAGGATCTAAAGAACACGCACACATACAACGAGAAAAAGATATCCAAGAGCCCGAAGAGGTACACCTAGAAATCCCTGCAGCATCGTATGCGTGCCCAAAAACTGAACTGCACGTCCGTCCCACCGTTCGACTACAGTAGCATCACCCCCTCCCTGTCCCACTCTACCAAAACGGAAGATTGTAGACTACAGCATACTGCTGTCTGAAGTGCTGTCTGTACAAAAACACCATGGTAGGCATGGAACAAGCAGCTGGCGGGGCACAAAGCTGCTGTCTGAAGTGCTGTCAGAATGTGTCTGCGGCCGTACAGTGAAAAAGAACAACCAACCAAAGCCATCATANGTACACCTAGAAATCCCTGCAGCATCGTATGCGTGCCCAAAAACTGAACTGCACGTCCGTCCCACCGTTCGACTACAGTAGCATCACCCCCTCCCTGTCCCACTCTACCAAAACGGAAGATTGTAGACTACAGCATACTGCTGTCTGAAGTGCTGTCTGTACAAAAACACCAT